TTAATTTTCTGCATTAAATAAAAAATCTTCTTGGGATTCTTTTGAGAGTTCAAACTCTAACCGAAAGTACCTGGTTACTCCAGCCACGGTTCAGGATTCTTCCTGAGTAGCAATTTTGATTCCTTGTAACTGACCTTTATTTTATAAGGTATCCTATATCTTGAGAGGTTCTTTAGAGAAAAGTTTAGTTAATGTTTTTCTGATTACAGTTCTCAGCCATATTTTTTCTCCTTACAGTAGCACACTACCATTTTATGAAAAAGGAAATTCAAACTTGACTCAAACACAAAAATGTAAGGAGTTTCCTAGGAACAGCAAAATGGTTGGCCACATGCCAAAGTGATACTACTTGGCGGCAGACCTTGTCATGTATAAATGGGGCTTTTAAAATGCCTGAAAAAAAGCTGCCTTGGCCCAGGCCCCCGGTGGACTACATGCCTGTGATTTCCCAAGCAGTGTAATTTTACTGTTATAACCTGTGACAATATTACTCTTATAATAATAATAATGAATTTCCTATTAATATCAGACTGAATTGGATTAGCTGGCAGTCTTCAGTTGTGTTGGTATCAGGAGCATCACTCAGACGAGAGCCTTGTTGCTGTGGGCACCACACAAAGACAGCAAGAGACATCTCCTGCCCCCTGCGAGCATGTGCCCCCAGGACACTGCACGGCAAAACCAAGAGCGCTCTCAAACAGGACCTCAGCAATTTCTTCCACTACATTTCATTTGTTTGCTTCACTGGTTGCCTCATTTTGCCTCTTTTGCCTCTCAAAAATAACAGCGCATTCAAAACACTTCAATGAAAGGAGTTGCATGCCTGGATTACTCAAACTTAGCTGGAAATGCACCTCGTCGCTTACTGATGAAGCAGACCTTGGAGTGAACTAGAAAACTCCAGCATGGAAATGTAATGAGGTTAAGCATAAAGGAGCTCTGTTTGCAGAGCAGGATAGCAGCAGACAAAAATAATGAACCCTTAAATTACTTTCCTTGTCCCCACTTACCTCCTTGCAGAGGGATGCTGTTCCTGGTAGCTAAAAAGCATGCATCACTCCCATGCCTGAGAGCTGCATGTGGTTGCTAGGTGGCCATGCAGCTTTTAGATCATTATGTTACTATCCCAGAAGGCTGCAAATAATCTGTGCACAAGAGCTGCTCGTTAACTTGTAGTCCGTGAAATTTCAAAGTGTCTGTATGATGGAACTCCTCCTCCCTTAATCTTTCTCCAACTCACGCTTCTGAATTCTTAAAAATACTTCGGAAGAGATTCTAAGTGCTGTAGTCCATGAAACTGCTTCTGGTATTATTCGATTTACACAGCCAGTTGCCCTGCAGTACATTCAGGAGATGGAGAATTAATCAGCAGAGACAGCAGGTGTTATGAGCCCCTGTTCTTTCCCTGGTACGTGCACAGACCATCTAAAGCCCTACAGGAGCATTTCATACCAAGATCCAGTGAATGCTATCATCTAACAGGTGCTTCATTCTCCGACAGCCTTAGCTGAAGCAGACCAGAAGCATCTGATACTTGAACAGCAGATCAAAAAGTAGGAAGCTTAAAGAATCCCACCCAGCTCATATGCCCAGTAGTTCCAAATCAACAACAAAGTGGATCTTCTGAACGCATTTTGCAGGACTCATATTAGCACTCACCTCAGTGTTACACTGTAAAAAACCCAGAAAATAATCAAGAAGTGAAATTGTGAGCCACATCTGGCCCACAACACATTATCAAAATTCAGCACGAACGATGAGTCTTCAGTGTGATGAAGACTAATACTTAAGGGGACAATCTTGCTTTAAAACAGTCAAGGGGCATGTGGGTTTTCAGGGTGAAGGTCCCATATACCGTACTAGAACTGTGTTAACTCAAACATCCCTGCCCAACTCAAAGATGTATATGTTTGATGACCTGTCAGTCTGACTTCAGCTTTTAAAATCAGGCTGAGGAATGCAACTGCATTCAAGGACTGAAATCTTGTCCTTCAAAATGAAACACAGACGTCTGGTAAAACCCAAGATGCTGTAAGAAATAATTAGGTGGCAGTAGTACAATCAGATCAGCTCTGTGGCTGACTTGAAGTTTGGAAAACGGGAGAAAGGTTAGGATCTGTGGTCTGACTGACTTCCAAAATAAACTACATCAGCAGCTCATATTACATGAAATGTACCTATAATATTAGGTTTCATACAGTTCCCTTACACTGAAAATACTATTTTCAGGAGTGATTATACATTTGGGAATACATATAGGGAAAATAAGACCACTATTGTGTAAAAAACAACCCCCCAACCTTTATTTGTCACAATACATTTCAAGTACATGCAGAATGTATTTACATTTCTCTTTAAGGCAAACAGAAATTGGGTTCTTATTCCTGAGTTGCTTAGCACCAGCAGAAATAGCAAATAAAAACTTAGGAAGTGTTGTCTCTCCCTTTGAAGCAGCAGCTGCCTCGCACGCGAAGTATTTCTGCTTTCACCTCGCATTTCTTTTAATGAGCTATTTATACTAATAATCTCTATTGCTGTTTGCAGCCGTTTCTGCAGATTTCAATCTCTTCACAGAACCGTCTTGCCAAGATGTAACAAACTTTCCACGTTTGCTATTTTACCTTGCAGACTGTTTGCTGACTAGACAGCGCAGCAGTACTTCTGTCTTTGCTGGCACATGCATGAAGGTCTTCTCTTCAATTTTAAGAGTTCTGTATTCCTCCAGTATCTAGAAAAACTATCTTATGTCCTCCTCATGCGGGTTAGCTGCTTCTCCAATACTAAGTTAAGATTAAGAGAGGGAAAAGTTCACCTCAGCCAATGGAGGCGTTTAGGGCTTGACTCCACTAAAGCTAAAGGCGGGGGGGAAGTGAAAATGCCCACCGAAGTGTTGGCATTTATGAAGAAAATGCAAAGCAGTTTTTCAATGAAAAAAAAAAAAAGCTTCCTCAAAGTCTGACTAACATTTGAGCCATTGCATTATCTCAAGACTTTAGATACTTGCTAGAATTTAAGATGTTGAAATTCCATTTAAAATATAAAGGGAACATTTTCAAAGAAGTTTTTGACATTTTCCATTTCCCATTGACTGGCTCTATCAAGCCCACTAATTCCAATAGGCACTTTTCTCCCATCATTTTTAAGAGGACCACAGAGCACAATCCTAAGAGAAAACAGCTATTCTGTAAAAAAAATAAAGTTCCTAATCAATGTAAAAGTGTAGTCCAAGCAGAAAGTCAATAGGGAAAAACGGGGTATGACCCTTAAGTGTGCCTTCCTCAGTGACCTGTAGTGTGGAAAAATGTTTTGTTTCAAATTACATTCTCTGCTTTTTTTAATGCATTCCTGAAACTGTAGTTTTTAATGACTTGTCAAACACATCAATAATTCAAGGTTTCTGTTACCTTTTAGTCCCTTTAGGTGTCATCCTAGCTAATCAATGCTCATCACAAACAATTTTTAAACAAATGCTAATATTTACAGGTGTTTAACTTAAACATTCATTGAAAGAAACAGAACAACTGTGCCTTGATTAAACTTCTGGTTTAAACTGGTTATTAAAGAAAAAAACCTCAAGTAATTTCTTACTTCTTTTCCAGTTACTACCTGCTAAGATCAAATGCCTTCTGTCACAACTGTTTCACTTAGTAGCAACACATAACAGCATATTGCATTGGGAATAATCCATATCCAAATAGTCAATTGTAGAGACATTACCTTTAACAAGGACAAGCAATCTCACAAAGAAATTCTTCACCAAAGGTTTGCCAATTTCTTTTCCTACCTCTGAGAGATTATTACAAACTAAGCACCTAGGAAAATATAGTAAGAGGGCAGTAAGAGGAACTCATGAAGTGTCTAACCAATTTATCCCATCAGGAAGCTGACTACCCCTGGTAAGGCACCTCTCAACAGAAGGTCTGAGGGTTTTTCCAAGCAAGATGAGTTCAAAAGGCTAAAAAAAGGAATGGCTGTTATCCTGCACCTGGCAACACCTCTGCACACTGTGAACAAACCAGCTTGCTGTAGGTATCCCCAATGAACAGCTGCAGCGTAGCATTTTATTCTCATTTTATTTTCTATAATGCAATCCACGTGCAGCTTTATTTCTAAAATCAGCACTGCTGATTCTATAACCAGTTTAACCTCTGAGAAATGTACTTTCTGAGTGATCATTTCAATACTAAGATGCTAGAGAGCCTACAAAATTTTAGAAAGTCTTAAGAATGTCTCCCTGGAAATCCTTGATCCCTAGTCTATTATACAAAGAGACTGCACTGTATTTAGAGGAAAATATTGTACCCCATGACAGTGATTGTTTGGCCAGTGACTGTTCACCTAGTGCATTTGTGAAATCTTGTCCTGCTACACTGGTTACTTTGAAAAAAATCTAGGACATGGACACTTCTCTGCTTCTTGCCTCTTGCCCAGATCTGTCAGAACTGGCTGGAGCTCAGGTTCTCCTCCACTCATGTAGGACGGGGGACATAGGTATTCATTCGAGCTGTGTCTCCACTAACTGCTGCATTAGCTGAGGTAGCAGAAGCTAATTAGCCTCCCCAGGCATTTTACCAAGGTGAAATATTCCAGAGGAAGTCGCATGAATACTTGCATTCAAGATATGGAGAGCAGTCATGGCACATCTCTGACATACTCTGTGTCTCAGCTTGCTTGGGGTGGTAACTTGTACTCTTCTATCTCTGAGTTGAAGAATTAGTCCTACCTGCTCTTTTGATGATGGCACCAGGTTATCACAGTCTGAATCCTTTTGTGCAGAAGTAAGAAGTTGTAGGCAGGAATAAGTTTCTGGATAGTTTTGAAATACTACTCCCAAAGGCACCAACTTCCACATGCAGAGTAAAAGACATTGCTCTTTCTTACAGTGCAGATGAAACAGATTATATCCAGTTTATTTATAAAAGTTTTATACACCTGAAATGTCACAAACATTTACAACTTTCCTGCTTTCTTCCGTGTTCTGAAAAGACTTAGTAATACAATTACACTGCTGTCTCCTTTGACTCCAGTGTCTGTGGTGGCTTGAAGTTCAGTATCTCTTTATATGTAATGCCTGGAAAACAACAGAATAAACATAGTGTTGCTGGTCTAATCAGAAACGGAGCTGCACAGACACGAGCAAGGTGCATGGTTAGGCTCTGATCTAGGTCAAGAAGACAGAGACCTCTTCAGGCAAAAAAGAGAGAAAGTAAAAAAAGTAAGGGAATCAAGGAACATTTTCTCACCGTTTCAGATTTGAAGAAGTAGCCCAATACTGAAATGTTACAGGTGCTTTCAAAGGGATGCAAGCATTGACTTTACAGTATAGTGGGCAATATCCTCAGAAAGAGCTACTGAACACATCAGCTTTAAAAGTCAAGTCCTCACTTAAAAGCCTAAATATAAACCTCTGATGTTAGATGAAAACTAGATTCAGACCTAAATCTCTGCTGAGATAGCTGTTTTCTCTCCCTGGGAGAACCTAAATTAAAATTAAGGCCAGCAACCACTGCAGTCCTATAGAGCCAACAGTTGAGGAATCTGTTTGCCTGTCCTATCCACTGGAAGGAACATGCTACAGAAATGGTTGCTTTCCTACATTGCAGAAGATGAGAGGACAGAGAAGGAGAAGGAGGAGAAGGAGAAACTTTTGGGGATCGTTCCAGGACTCCTCAATAAGAGGAACACTGGCTTGTCAATAGTGTTTCTCTATCTTAATGCTGTCTGTTTACTCTGTTCCATCAAAAGCAGAGAAGGCAATTTGTAAAGGGAAATATTCCTATTTCTGGATGGCCTTTCTATCTGATTATTTTTGAAAATATCACAATACTAGACTCACGCTTCCACTCATCTAGGGGAAGATCCATGTTATCAAATGTGTCGTCATATTTCTCAGCTTCAATTTCTTCCTCAGGGTCGTGAATTGGTTCAAAGTAAGGATGCATCAAAGCCTCAGCTGCTGTGACTCGCTTCTCTGCATCCAGCACCAGCATCTTCTCCAAAAGGTTTACAGCTATTGCACAGAAAACAAACAGTGTATTCAGATCATGCCACCGATTCCAGCTTGTACACAGTAATGTTGCCCTGGAGATATTTCAAATAAGTACAGTTATAAAGCAGAATCATTGTGTGGTCATTCTATAGCCAGCGTGGCCCATCTGCATGACAAAATAGCATTGTGAGCAAGCTGGGATGTGTACAAAGCCTGATGCAACGCAGAGGTTTTCCCTTGCTTCTGTATGCAATACAGCCACATCACCTCAGCTAATGACTTCTCAGCTTCTGGCTCCAGGACAAATGCGTTTGGGGCTTTCCCAGGTGTCTTTCATCATTGCCACCATGTTGGGGTTGTAAGGTGCATCACAACCTGGCAGCAACAGAATGAACAGGTGGCTGGAGAGCTAATGAGAATTGTGCTGTATGTGATCAAATCCTAGCCCAAGTGCACTTGAAGTTCACTAAGACAAGTCAGTTGTCCATGCTCAGAATCTCAGTGCTGACTTTACCTGCTATGTATTTTTGACCTCAGACAAAACAATTCATGAAAATCTTGTATGCTCCTCTCCAGTGGATTTTGGATCAGGTCCACTGTTAGACTGTCAAAATGGACTAGTGTAAACAGATATGATGAATGATTTGTTTGTTCTCTGTTTGTCTATCCTGAAAGAACATTCTTGAGTTGGGTGGAGCAGCTCAAAAGAAGAAGAGGCAGCAGCATGGGACAGGATGCTGCAACTCCTGCTTGCCATGTCATGGATTCTCTCCAACCTTCTCTCCCAGACCATGAGCAGTTGTTCTCTACTTAAGGAGCAGCCAGATTGCCACAGACGTGATAGGAAGAAATGTCCTGAAAACTAAATGGAAATGCGTAGTTTTCTGTACCTAAGAAGGTCAGTGAGCTAACCATGCAGTCAGGGTATGAATTATGCTTATTTCTACTGTATCTGAACATACAATTTCAACTTCTTAAATTGAGAAGATTCAATTATCCTAATTTATATTCTAATAAATCTAGCTTTGTGAGTGTTCAGGTTATTGGGAAACGGATAAGGTTTGGGCAGAGCCATCCTGGAGCTCTGTCTGCCTCAGGTCATGTCACAGTTATGCACACTTGGTATGTTCTTCTGGCTGTTTACATCTATTAAATCCAAGCCAGTGCTCCTCAGGAATGCACAGATGTTTCTCAGGATGTATTAATTCCATGACTAAAATGTCAGCTTTCTATTTGCTTGCATTTCTACTGTAGATCAGAGTGACCTTAAAGAATTATATTTCAAATACAATACAGAGAAAAATTTATTATGTATACTTAATATCCCAGGGCTTTTGAGAAAGCTGCTCCAGTAAAACCATTAAGCAGATGCTGGAATGAAGCCTGAAACACAAAATACTTCTTTTTCGACGCTTCTAAGAAACATCTGATTCCTGGCAGGGTCTAAACTTGGCAAAGTTTGGCCACTACAATCAAAATTAAGAATTATGGAAAGCAAGAGATAGAAAAGCACAAGAACCATCACATAACCTATCACATGACTGATACTGCTGCTGCCTCCAATGCAAACACAAGAACAAGACAAATTGTAGACATCTACACAAACTGTCTTACCCAAAGGATTCGCATACTTCAAGATGGATGCAAAATCTTTTTTCTGGACTTTTGGGAGACTTTTGATATAGTTTTTTGCCTTAAAAGAAACATGGATATTAAATTAGACCTTTGCTGCCTTTGTAAGGTGACAACATTAACTATATGCTTAATAGGTAACTCAACAATGCTTTGATAGCACATTGTACAAATGAATTTTTTGGGGTGTGGTGTCATAAACCTTGATTATATTCACCTTGCTGAAAAGAACGCCTTTTGTTTTTTTTTTAATCAAGCCTTAAAACTGTGATTAAGAAATGAAAATGTAAAGCTTTAATTATTAGTGCTCCATATTTAATATATTAATTAAAATAAATATGTATGCATAATTTGAAGGAATGTCATAGTGAGTTTACAGGAATCTCTAGAAGTGAACCTTATACAGTAATTCATTAGTATTTAAATTGTATAGTTAGTCTAATGAATAATTTTAGGTTCTTTATAGTAGGGGCTTAAGGATTCTAGAAGGACACCCATATAAGTATAGGAAAGACAAAGTCAGAGACATCTGCAAACAACTGGGTTTTCTGAATAGGTTCATGTTTTCAGTACATGTCCAATAAATGTAGTAACGCATTAGCTCAACTGTTCACATGGTACACACTGGAAACTTTGAAGTATTTAAATATACAGATTTTTCAAGTGTTCAGATCATTTTTTGTCCGCCCTCTTAATCTCCAGTAGCTATTCTGGGTGTGCAAAGCACTTCAAGGCTGAGATGCACCATCAGGGGTCAATACATATTATCTCAGCCAGTCTAAGAACTGAGCATGGCTTAAGTAAAAATAAGACATGTAAAACCAACTGACAAAGCAGAATACTCACATCTTGACTGTGCAGTTTTTGAACAAAGTCTTGAGTCGGTGTACCAGTTATTTTCATTATTTCTGTGAGTTGGTCCAGATCTGAATACCAGAAATAAGGAACAAAGTCTTTCACCATAAGAAAACTAAGCACTCTGCAAAAAATTGTACGTTTCTTCACTGGAGAATAAAGCAAAAATCACAAAGCAATGACAGAAGATTTATAAAAGATGAGATGAAAGTTCTCCATTTTTCTTGTAAAAGGCAAAGACACTGAAAGCACCTGAAATAAAATATCCTGTAACTTGCAAACACATAATTGAATCATCTGCAAACTCCTCTAATATCATAAGGCCTCCTTGAGATTTGTCTGTCCAAAAGTACTGGAGTATCTGAACAATCAACACATGTATTGCATGCATTGTCCTGGTCTACCCAATACTTAGGTGATGTAAAAGCAGGAAAAGTCACAGGGAACATCAGGTGGTACAATAAACAGAACAAAAATCAGAGTAAACCAGTCTGTGTTAGTTCTTCTCCACACGGAGAAACTTCAAGAGGAAAAAACCTAACCCCTCTCCTCCTCATTTCCCACATGCTTAGCTCAATTCCAGATGCTGAGATGTTGGAGATGTTGGGGTGAGGCATCAGAATACTCCCTAATCTTCTGTGTCCTAAAGCAGCACTGATTAATCAGCAACAATATCAGCTGTTTCAAAGAAGAAATGCCGTATTTACAGGAGGCTAATGCTGCAGAGAACAGCTTTATGACTCATTTGCTACTCTGGTAAGAGCAGCAGATGAGAAGCTAGATCAGAGCTCAGAGCACACACGAGGATTCCACCAACCTCTGCAGAAAAAGACAATGGTGGGTAACGCTGATGAAATAAATAAATAAAATCCCATACCAAGTTTGCAGGATAACCTCTTCCTAACACTAAAACAAGAATCCCTTAAGTTAGCTGTTTTCTTATTCATCTACCCACAGCTGAGCCCACGGCTGCATTTCCCTGACTAGAGGTAATACTTATTCATATATTCAAAGGCCAGCAAGGACTATTATGCTGCGGTTATTTCCCTCATAACACAAGACGTAGAACTTCAGCCAATAACTCCGAAAGCTCCAACACCCAGTATGACTAAAATACTACCTTTTCCACTCTTACATTTACAGTGCAACTTGAAAATTATGATTCATTCATTTTCTTATTGATGTACCAGAATGCTCAAGGTTAGCATTAGTTGAGAAATGCTATGTGTTAGTCAATGGCTGTTCTTTGGCAGGCATTTTAGGATTTTCTTGTTAAGAACTAATGCGTACTTAAAATCTGTACAGCTGAAATAATTTGATGTATTCTACTTTTCCATAGTCCCCGTCATTTTTTTGGTGAAGGTAATCTTCCTTTTTTATATTTTTCCTCACAAAACAAGAATAATATGATCCATGCAATGAAGTCCTAATCTTACATGTAAGTACTTAAATACAAATGTAACTAAAATTAAACAACTGTGATTCTGTAAACAAGTATTTGCAGATAAATGATTTATTCACTGGAACTCCACAAGGGGAAAAGCAGTGCAAAATGATTAGGCTGAGCTGTCAAACATACAAAGATGGGAAGCAAAACAAAAAAGTAAAAAATTCTTGCTGTCTTCTATTAACACCATCCTCTATTAAATATCACAAGTCCTACTGCCAATGAAGTATCACTTGAGGTTGAATTACAGCTTAATCTTAACTATTTTCTTAATTCCTCAGCAATGAAATGATAGGACTAGATGTTTTCTGTAAATCTAAAACATTTTACCAGACGTTACTTATATAACATTTTTTGGTAAAAGTCTCAAAAAGCATGAAATGGACTAGTGTGTGCACAGAAGTCCATCTATCACATTGGAATCTTCTGTGCGTGTTCTGCAATTGTGGAATCTATTACTAAAAAAATCAAAATATGCCTCTTCTATCATCACAAAACCTTCTACCTGATGACTTGAGATGCGATTCAAGATTACCTCTCTTTCTCTATTGAAAAAGTTCAGTAATACAAGTTTTAATTGTCAGATGTGCAAAAGTGATACAGGTATCAAATAACCAATTAATGAGAAAGGTGCAAGCCATTTTACTATTCATTTCAACTTACAGTCATCAGTTTTTGAACAGACCTACTGTATCACATAAGAACCTCTCATCATTTTCTTACATTAGTGTCATAAATTCATTGAAGGATACGATCATTTCCTTTGAACAGAGGCCTCCCTGTTATCATCTCAGCCATTATACAGCCCACAGACCAGATGTCAACTGAAAAAAAGACCAATAGTCACATTAAATTGCTAAATACTTGTTCATTTAAATGTGCATAAAGTTTAATTTAAAACATATTTTAAAGAAGTGTAAAATTTACCTTTATAGCCTGTTACAAAATAAATGAGTGCCTTGCCAAGTATGATGAACAGTATAGGTAAAACTACCAGCCTTTCTAATTAGCAGACTGGAGATAATCTGATAATATGCAGAATCAGTTTCTCAGTAACAGGCAGATGCACGTGGGAAGTAAATTTTCAATGATTTCCAAAACGTCGATAGTTATCCTAGCGTGACTTTAATTCCCTCCTTCTCCACCATTTTCCCCTGTCTGTTGGAGTTACAATCAGCACATCTTTGCAGGAAGATGACAGTCAGTGCAGAACACAAGAACATAGACCAGACTGTCACATCTGTATACATTTATATCACTTTTTTCCAGCCACCTTGGCACTTTCTGTTACTCTCAGAAAATATACAAAAAAGGCCCCAATCTCACAACCACTAAACGATTACTTGCAATTTATCTACAAGGAAGTTTTGAGTAATTATATTGCCATTTCCACCTCCGATTTCTCATTCACTTCAGAAACAAAGACTTGCTAATATATTGCCTGATACAGTGAATGCTTTAGCTCTGTTAAGACTTTTCTGAAGAGATGCTGACCTGTTTGTGTATAATGCATCCAGTTAAGTATGACCTCTGGGGCTCTGTACCACCTTGTAACCACGTAACCAGTCATCTCACTGTCTGTATGCCTTGCTAATCCAAAATCCAGAATCTGCAGTGGAAGCACAAAGAACGTCCTGATCAGACAGCTAGTTATCTATTTCATACAGACTTCACAAATGTGGAAAATAAAGGAATTGGAGCAATCCGCAGAGATTGGTTTATTTTTGCATCTTTTTCTCACTGAAGTGTCTTGTTCTCATTTTAAAAATCAAGACAGAAGTAGCAATAAGCTTTACAATTTTTTTCCCAAGTTAGATATTCCTAGAGCAACACTAAAAGCTGTAAAACCAGTACAGAAAGTAGTAAATTCTTCAATTATTAATTAAAAAAAAGACACTGGTCACATTCAACACAAAAAAAATTCCCTGGCCATGGAATCACCATCGAATCATGTTAGGGCTAAAAGAATAGCACCCATCTTAGACGGTATTCATTGTTCTTGTATCCCAGGTGGCACAATTATGCAAGAGTGTGTTCCGGTAATATTCTGAAGTAAGGAGGTATCGTTATTTCTATTGTATGAGTAACTCATACAAGGGAAGGCTTCCTCTAGTTCACATTGAAAATCTGCAACAAGAGTAGGGAATCACCATTATTTAGTCCCACTAAGTTTTCTCCAACCTACTGCATCAACTACAGAACCCTGTAAGGAATGCAAGGTCAGTGCAATTTTTTAAAGGATTATGCACAATTCAGCTTATTTCTAAGACTCTCAGATATTTATCTCTAGATATAGCAATGTGTACAACAGCAAGATTAAAAATGAACATTACGGCCTTTTGTCACCTCCTACAAAATTGACCTAATAAGGTCCACCTGCATGGACCATCAAAAGATGGTGCCTAAAGATGCAGCCAACAGCAACAAAATTCCACTCCTGGAATGACAGTCAGTTCACACTCATCAGGAAGTTCATGCTTCTAACAAGAAGCAGGGGGGCTGGGTAAGTAAAGTCTACTCAAGATAAATCATCATCCACAGATAGTTGAATATGTAGCTTTGCACGAACAGCCACTAGTTTCCATGTGTATCAGGTTTCATATATATATTGACAGGGCACAAGTTTTTATTAGAAGCACCTGTGCATTACTATGCCAAGAGTGATATTTTTGTAATGCTCTCTGCCATTAAACATTTAAAAATATTTCAGGATAGTTTCATCATTCCCTGGCAAACATTTAAAAATATTTCAGGATAGTTTCATCATTCCCTGGCACTAACAGAAAGGAAAATTGTACTTTCATTCATAGATCAAGAGTATAAAATGTTATGGCTTATCTTTATTGCCATACTTGAAGTAGCATTTCCATGTTTTCCCCATAGCTGCTGATTGCCTACCAATTTAAAAACAGGAACAGGATGCAAAGGGAGAGATTTTTATACTTACCAATAAAATGCACTTGATTATGGTCAATTCTTTGGGTACTGAAGATTTACTGGACCCAAAATATTTGCAGTAGCAAAATACACTTTTATATACAGCTTTCAAATTTATTCTACAGAGACAGCACACATTATGCTTTCCCAGTAATATGGGAGGCAGGGTGGAAGAAAAAAAAGGAAGTTTTATGTAAAAGTCAAAAGCCACATGTGGTACCATCTATTCTGTCACAGCTTTTTAGGCATTTTCCATACTAAGGCTTGTGACACCAGGAGTTGGAAACAGCTAAAATATAATTTGGGTTTCTATTTTTGTAAAAGCAGAAAATGACAGTGAGAATTTTTGTGCATTATGTATTAACTTCAGGATTTATTTTCATTTACATATTCATTAGGCTCAGGAACAAGCGTATCATGTTAGTACTTAATATTAATGTGGTACCACTTCAATAACAATCTTCACATGAAACTATTACTCTCATACTCCAATCTTCAACTTTTCAGCTGGAACTTCCAAAACAATTTTCAGAGCAAGTTTGAAAATCCTTTTTATAATGCAGGAATTATGAAAGAAAGAGCAAATTCCCCATAGCATCTCAAGGATAAGCTCCCCTTCTACTCAGCAAACTTAATTTTCCTAACTTGCTTCAGTAACTGTAACTTTGAGACCACAGAAAGGGCAGTGATTTCCCCTCATGCACCCTTCACTGTCACTTTTCTGATTCCTATGTAGCAGCTGAGTGCCTCAGATGAGGGAGCCAGAAAGCTCATTGTGAAAAATAAAACTGATTGCTTATTAATTAATTACCAATTCAAGGAACTGTTCCAACTTGCCTACAGCCTCATCACCACAGGAGCTGATGCAAGGGAAGCTGCTGAGTGCACAGACGTGGGGCAAAAGGTTTGGACTACCCCTGGAAGCGTGGTCCTGTGCCCACATAAACTGACTTTCAAAGTACACTCTCAGAGCAGGGTGCCATTGCACCTGAACACACACGTGGGAAGTCAGTTCAACTCCTTCAGTGGAACAGTTAAATCCCAGTTAAATCCTCGCTTTGATATTTTTTCTTGAACACTTCCCAACACATTATAGTTTGCTTTCTGTTTATAGACTGGAGTTGCCTTTTGACAACCAGTATTTCCTAATTGCAAATGTGCACTTCTGCATATGATATCAGAGCTTATTGTACAACCAGGAACATCATAATTTCACTTTGAGAGTCAAGAAACAACAACTAAAGCTTAATGCTACATTTTCGCCTTGTCATTTCACAAAACTGTGTTCTGGTATAGAATTATTTGCCTCAGTTTATTCAAAAGCTTAAAAATGTCCAAGGTAACAGAAAAATAAGTTGTGTTAAATAAGGAAATACAGTGATGTATCACGGAAGAATGTCTTAGACCTGGGCTGCATCTCAAAATGTAATTGTACAGCTGGGTGGGTGGGGAAGAGAAACATGTACAGCTGTTTTTTCTAGATTCTCTTTTTTTCCCCCCATCACCATGGGACCCACTCACCGTTTGGCCATCTGTAAGCCAGGAAAAGACAATGGCTTTTTGTGTTAGATAGGGAAATTCTGAGATGACAGAACCCTGAACATTCAGGTCAGCGTCCAAAGAGCAAAATATTGTATCACAACAGCTACATGCAAGTATAGTTTGTATGTTGTATGCTAAAAAACATTTTTGCAGTGTTGCACCAACTTTTATTGTATTTAATTAAGGGAGTCCTTCACAACCTTTGATCTTCTGTATCTCCCAGCTTGTAGAGTTAGACTTTTTGTAGTTATTCAAAGCTGGAATTCTCACATAACTGAACTCCTCTCATGAAGTCTTATGTCTCTTTTAGGGAGGAAACCTTGGCCCTAAGATCTAAATGCCCTTACATATCAGGACACAAAAACCCCCATTCAAATTTACTGTTGTTTTGTGAGGATGTATAGGCCAGTCATGATTCAAGCACAGGATAGAAGACATAGCTTGATTTTGTAATTAACTAAAAAACCCTAACTAGCCTTTCAGATTGCTAGAGCTAAGAGAAGATAGGTGACAAAAACACTTCTAAAAATTACTAAAAAATTAAAATACAAGAATAGAATCAACTGGGGACTAGAAGCAGTCTGGGACTATCTCTACGCTCAAGAGAATAAACTATATTCCTAAAATAAGCAGTGCTGAGTACTACTTAATTCTACTTCATAATAAATAATTGGCTTTTTTTGTAACAAAGTAACTCTCCACAGCCAAATAGTTGCATTTTTGCTAGGTCAGGGAACATTGCATAATTATTTCTGCAGTACAAATACTATCCACTCTAACAGGCTTTGGAAGATTTCCAAAACACGTAAGAAACTGTGATCAGAACTAGTCAGATACAGTATTTCAGTGCAATGATTTAGAAGGATGCTTGAGGACAAATGTTATGCAGGAGAAGAATTACTACTCAAATGGACTCTACTGAGAATATTTCCAAGGAAGTGGCAACAGTTACACTTCAGGACAGATAGCTTTCCACAATGGGTGCTACAGCCCTGATCTCCAAGGGTGCATGCCAGCTAAGCCCAGTTACCATGCTGGGAAGGGGTGTGTGTGTGCACCATCCTCCTACCCATCTTTGGGGGGAAGCCCCAACAGGTAGGACGAAGAGAGTCACAGTACATGCCAATACTTGCCCCACTCCAGAGACGAAGCAAGCAGGTAATAGAAAAAATGCCATCAAATGCACCTGTCTTGCAGTGTAGCAGCAGAAACAGCAAATAGCTGAACTACAGGAGGCTGAATTAGGAATTGCCTCCCTTTAATGAATTTTTTTTTCTCACTACTTCAATTAAGAGCAAAAATGAAGCAGAACTGATATATTCCTGCTATGAAATACACTGTAGGCTACATGCAATTGATATTACTGTTAGTTGTAACAGTGCAGAAGGAATCACTTTCAAAGAAATAAGATGTTCTTGTTCATGGTGAGCAGTAGGTGATTCCTCTCATGCTTCTCTGAAGTGATTTAGCTGCAACATATCATAAAAACTGTTCTCCATTACAGCTCTTATTCTACTGTAACCATGACATGATTTTTTCTTGAAAAGTATTTTTAGTTGAGTGACTGCATAAAAATATACCAGTATTCATTGCAACGTACGCATCACACAGGAAAAGGGTGACTATCACTGTCACGCACATGCCCTCGGTGTGGGCACACAGGTGCGGCACGGACTGCTCTGTCAACGCCAAACCTCCAGAAGCAATTTCAGTTCTTACACTGCCCTTCACCCAGATGGAGGGACCCAAGTTAGCAACCGCTCCAAGGACGCCATGAATGTAATAACCTGCGGCACTGACTTCCTCGCCAGAAATCCTCCTCTACATCTTGGAGTCAACTCCCATTTCTCCCCTGTTAGCACTGGGTACCAGCTTCCTGGAGTGTCCTATCTGGACTGGATGTTTTCAGCTGGGACATCCTGGGCAATGTTTCTAGCTTGAGGCACAGCCATTTCTTGTGCTTGGCTCCAGAATGATCTCAGAAATTGATCATCACCTCTGCCATTTGTATGAAACGCACATTTATGTCAGTCAAGGACATACAAATAGGAGGTAAAGAGATTTGCACTATTCAGGTCTTTATTTCTGAAAAAAATATTTAATTATTCTTGTGGTGACTGAAGTCAGACAAAAGGGAAAATACTTATACTCTTCTAATTTTTTTTCAAGATTGCTACTGCTGCCCATCTGATCCTCTTCTCTTTCATTTTCCAGCGTTACTGTATTTCTCCATGACACCTCAAAGCCCGTGGGCTGAAAACCTGGCCCATCACTGAAACCAGCCAGCATGTCTACAGCTGCTGCACCCGCTGTCTTCTGTGGTGTATTTCTAATACCTCTGACATAAATAAATATCCTACCTTCAATTCACAGTCTTCATTTACTGCCAAGTTTCCAGGCTTTAGATCCTGTAATCAGATTTGAAATGGATGTTATTTACGTATTTTACAGAAAGCACAATAAAGCACGCTTTCTTTCTTCCTTTCATTTAAGTTTAATGGTTTTCATAAAACTACTTAGAACAGCAACAGGTAAAATGATGTCATAAATCTAAATTAGAAAATTAAATGTAACAAATAACAGAAACAAAGACACAAACTTGCATATGTTTGGCTTTTTTCCAGTATGTTTTCCCCCCAGACAAATCAACGTCTTTTCTGTTAGAAGTCAGGAAAATACTTGCCAGTGAAGGAACTCACTCATCTTACTGTCAGTGGGTTTTGGACATAAATTTGTTGCATTTAATACTAACACCACAAAGTTAAAGATTCACATATGTATTTCTGGATTATACATACTGCATATCAAAATATACTTTAAAAAGGTTTCATACCCTGATAGACTTAGAAGGAGTACTGAAAGAATCAGACAAGATCTTACATAAAAGCCTATACTCTCTTCTGTGGGAAAATCAATTTCCTAACAAAGTCAATTCAATGGACACTGCAATGTGGGGGAAAAAAAAAAATCCCTTAAGCCTCTTTAGCTACTGTATAGACTTCTAATGATATTCAAAGGTTGTACTTCCAAGTTTAGCAGCAAAGGGAAGAGTACTGGCAATGACTAAGAAGATTTTGCAACGTCAGTGACTCTTAGACATTCAGTTGTAAAGAGAAAGAAAAAAACCAGAAATTAATTTTCCTTCAGCATTTTCAAGACATTTAGAAGAATCTTCTGTCTGAACTTTTTAAAAGGCATCCACCTGTTTTATACGAAGATGTTTTAAGATCAGAGGCCTTGGAGAGAAACAAATTGGCGCAAAGAACCGTAATGAAACCAAAAAGCTCAAGAGCCATCAAGAGGGAGCTTAGAGAAAGTCTAAGCAACTGTAAATTTAGATCATGATCACAGCAGTTGTAGAAATAAAAATATCAATTTGTAACATTATTTTGGCAGTTTGCATAGTTTCCATGTCCAGCTTAAAGCTACTATACAACATGCGCTTTCTGATGCTCCTGATATTTTATTACAGACAGTTTCTACTGTTCTGATGCAGTTTTGGGGGAAGTTATCCTGCTTAGTACCATGGAGGCATCATTCAGAACTCCTTCACAGTGCAAAAGTGATTTTAAGTGGACTTTAGATACAGCAGGGATTCAGAAAGAACCAGATGCTTAATTCCTCTCAGAAAAAAATTAAGGGTTTCAAGATGTTTAATCTTCAGTTAAAAAAAAAAAAAGGCCAGAAAAAACTCTTATCCACCTCAATTTAGACACTATTTGCTCTTGTGGGGACTTACAACTCAACTTCACAAAGTAATTTAAGAAATCCAAATCTAAGCTGTATTCAGCGCAACCTGAGTGCCCAACTTACACTGATGTAGCCATACCGCTTTTTGTTCCTGTTGAAGAAGAAACCAAAGGCATCATCAAACTGAGACACTATAAACAGAATTTCAGGCATATTTACGAGCATGCTTATACACAAACACCACTCATATTATCAAAATATAAACATCTTTTATATTGTTTCCACTTACCCTGTGAATTATGCCTGATGAGTGAATATACTGTAAACAGAGAAAGTATTTTTTAGTTAATGAGGTCCTGACTTTAAGAAGTTGCCTGCGACAGGGGAGAAAGTACTTTTTCACGGTGCTAAAGTAATCTGAAATTAGAAAATGTTTATTTATTGCACAGAATATCTCTTTAGCTATGTTTTTAATGTTCAGATAATTAAACTAGCATTCTGCCCTTCCCCTTCCCCAATAATGAGAAACCAGTAAATCAGCTGGAGTACTGCAACAGATCATACAGTTTTTTCTAACGCTTCCAATACATAATATCCCATTTCCAGGTAATTTTTGGCATTGCTATATGTATATATGTTTCAAAATAAATCATGCTATTTTATGTATCAGAAATGCTCTCTCGCAATAGACGTCTCTGGTGTGCCATCAGAGTTTAGATTCATATGCTCCAGCAGCACTGAGTTTTAAGAGACCATTTAAGACCAGGATGAAGGCCAGTCAAGGTCTTAGCTGAGAAATCCCGCTACGTGCTTCAACACTTCCTCAGTGAAACACGGAGAGGACATTCTCCTTTACCTGAACATTTTCATCACCCTTCCAGTGACTTATTTAAGGGCTCACAAAGTCAAACCAACAAACTGGACACCTAGGACTAGTTCTTTTGGGAAGACACCTGATCAAATGCAGATGTCTGCACCCGTGACTGTCACCAAATGCTCCTCACCGAGATACGCAGTTCCTCTCACCAGCTGAATGATGCCCTAGAAGAGACTACTTTCATCATGGACAATAAAGGGAGGCTCTAGTAACTAGGTCAGACATAGGCATCTCTTTTGCGAGGTTTGAAATGCAGAAAGTTGTCCTGAACTGAGGACATACTTTCCAAGAGCAGCCTTGGATGTGCTAGTACTATTCACTTCAGGTGTGGGGAACTGATCTGAAAACCCCACAGACCATACTACTGATGGCAGCTCATACTACTGACACTAAGCAACATGAGAACAATAAAGGCTTTTTAAAAAGTCCCCAGAAAAGACGGATGAGATGTGAATCCCACCAGCTTCACCTGAAGAGTTTTCATTTTATTCCACCCTGAAGAATGGGACAATAACTGGGAAAATAATTACTGGGAACCAGCTCTCAGAGCCGGGAAAGACCAACCAGGGACAGTCAGCACGGCATCACAGAGATGCACAGAAGCATTGAACTTTGCAGGGTAACTGCCAACCAGCCATAGACCCAGCAAGCATCGTCTTCTTCCCCAACAGTCATGAAGATGAGCAATTAAATGCAACAGTCCCTCTGCAAAGGGATCCTCCTAGTCCACCTGATGAGGGGACCAGGGAAAAGAAAGCAAAGGTACAGATCAAAGCCAACTTCTTCAGACAGATCCAATGTGCATTTCAGACTTTCTGAACTTAAACAAAATCCATACAACCTAAGCAGCACAAGATCTGGATTTAAGGCATCGAGTTTTTAAAGCAGTGACTGAACAAAAATAAAGTTTCTGACATTTACTTTTTCCTCTCTTACACCTGACACAGTGCTCCAGATGTGGTCTTGTAGGTTCTGAAAAGAGGGGGGGAAAAAAAAGAAAAATCACTTCCCTTAACGCTGTGCCTACAACTTTACAAATCCAGCCCAGATTGTGGTAGGGCTCCACTGCCGCACGGGCGCACTGCTGACCACTGTGCCCGAGTCCACGCAGGTCTTGGCATTTGCAGTAGACCAGTTCCTGCTACATATTACTTGCAGATTAGGCAAGGTTTAACATCACCCATAGGAAATGCCAAAGCACTTCACAGGATTTCCTGGGGCAGACACAAGGGGCTGAGGGTGCAGGGCTGTTCCCCAGAACTTAGGCTGTAAAACTACTACAGCAAAGAACTATGAAATGCTGTACGTGTCATGGATGTACATGAAGTGGATCGGGATGGGAGGAACCAGATACAGAAAGAGGAAGTTTGTCATTTGTACGCAGAGACCAGAGAAGAGAGAGAGAGAGATGGTTTGGTTTTTTTTTTTTAAAGAAACATATCTGTAAGTAGTTAAGACTCCCAATAAATGAAGAAAAAGATGATGTCTTCTGCCAAAAGCTATCTTGATCAAGGATATCACAATGACTACTTGCAGTCTAAATCATTTCAGTATCTTCTTACTGAAGCCTCTTGATTTTCCAAAGCAGATGCTTAAAATATTCTATAGGCTATTTTTGCTGGTATGACTGTACACAGTAAGGAAATAACTGGCAGACCCAGGAATTTCTGCACCTAAGAATGTGGCATGTAGAAACAGGAATTAAAAGGACTGCAGCCTTCAAAGTTTTAAAGTAAATCTCACCTGTTTGGGGGGAAGAGCATGGTTTCGCTGGCATTCTCACCCCACTGAAGGTTTTATGAGTGTTCACAGCACCAAAATCACATTAACACTTTGGGGAGAACTCCTATATTTTCTAAACACTCCTCTTAATACAACAGTACTGAGATTACATGAAATAGCACTTATTCCTGGTACTAATGTACACATCAGCCTTTCTGTAAGCTGAAATGCTGGTGCTGTGCTGCAGTGTTTCTTTAACAATAGCAGTATTTTTTAAACTGCATTTTATTATCTCCTGGCAGGTAGCAGCACTGGAACTACACCAGTCTTCGTTCAGAAAATTTTCCATTTCAGTTCAATAACCTTCTGAAACGGGATCCTATTCTTACTGATTTTCCTCATTAAATTATCCATTTATTGACAGATTTTTCACTCTTAACATGGCAAAAATGTCCAGACCAGAGCAGACAGATCCTTCACAATGTTATTACCACTTCACCTGAACAATATTTGATTCAATAACTCAGTTAATGTGAGCAAAGTGCCTTGGAGCACAAGGAGCTCTATGCATTATCCCAAAGACAATTTTTGGTAGCATGCATAAATTCTTGAATGCAAGCTTCAGACTGTGCTAGGAAGCTATCCAACAGTTGTCTGAATTCTAAGCGTTCTTTTCTGTAAACGCAATCTCTACACAAAATAAAAAGCAAATCAAAAGGGAATTAGAAAAGACTCAGGAGAAAGTATTCTAGGCAGCATGCAAAATGAAAATGAGGAGTGACTTGGCAGGCAAGATAAAACTGAAGAGGAAATGGGTAAAATGGGGGAAGGGAAAGCAGAGAAGCAGAAAGAACAACATAAACGTGAACAAAAGAGTAACTAGAGATGACAAAAGGAGAGAACTAGAGCAGGTAAGTATTGCCATGAGTATGGCAAAAGAAGCTTGAACAGGTGTTTGTATGGCCCAAGAGCTATCCATCCATTCTCAAATAGCATACAAATAAAGAAACAGGCCTGCCACCCACCTCCCCAGACCTCTAAGAACAGGAACCCAGCTGGGACTCTGGCAGAAGAAGGACCCAAGACTGAAAGCATTGGAAGCTCCATCCCCTTTCCACCTACATAAAGACATTTATGTTCAGCTTGCCTTCTGTACTCTTTGACAATACACAGCTTTTCTGTCAAACAAAAAAATTATGAAAGCCCTTCAAAGTTGCAAGTTCATACTTAAATAAAATTTAATGCCAGACTAAGGCCTGATGAGGAAACAGACAAAGGAGAGGCATGGCACTGCTTTTAAGCAGTGTCAAGATGCATTGTTTTCTCCTACCACAGATGAAGTTAAATTCTGATAAATTACAAGGCTCACCAAAGAAAGAAAATGAATATTTCATCCTCTATAGAAAGAGGACAGTAAAATGGCAAGAACAGAAACTAACTGACAAACAAGGACTGTATAGACTTACAGAGCAAAGACCTGAGGGCTTGATACAAATCTTCCTGAACTCAGTACAAACTTTCTATTGACCTCAATTTATATTTATTTTTTAAATCAAACCTGTTGACATTTTGGTATATAACCAATCCAGAACCAGTCTACAGGCAGAATGTAGAAAAAAAGCCTGCAAGAAACTGACTTGGGGGCTTAGCAAAAATCTCTCTTATCCCTTCACAATACATCACTCATGCAGAATTTTTTCTACATGCATTTAACTGTCACATATAAACAGGTTGTTACAATATAAGTATGCAATGTGACAAAAGCGATAAGCAGCCTTCTTGCCTTTGACCAGACATAAATACAGATACCATAAAGTGCTTATGTACTTTACACAAAGGACAAATACATATTACAGGTAACATCTTTAACACCGCCCCCCCCCCAAAGAGTCCATCAAAGTTAAAAGGTGCAAAAAAATAACATGCATTATAAAAATGAGAGGCTAAGTTTGGGAGGCTGAAAGAGTTATACAACAAACATCTAGAGAGTGGCATATTCCTCCTTCCCAGGTGTTGCAAGTATTTTTCCCTTATAATGCCTCAACTGAGCACTAGCTAAGCATATGCTTTGTTCCCCCTGCCCCACTAAAAAAGTAAACTAAGTAAACACAGATGGGCTGTCTTTAATCCAGATACAGTAGACCTTAAAAAGTACAAGACTTTCATGCAAAACTTGGCAGACCCCTTGTTAAACAGCTAACTTACTGATATCAGTAAAAGAAGAAACAAATTACTGACCCATTTTCTTTTTTCTCTGCATGCTAGCAATACTGCTTTCAGCTTAACCTACTTCCTAGCACAGACAGTGCTGCAAGAATGTCCCTAAAGCACTGGACCACTCCTATTTCTTAAGGTTTTCCAACTAGGTGTATCATTGCAGCTGGATGAATTGGTTCAAGAATAATCCAAAATTTAATGGAACAGATACAGTAAAGACTGTTCTCAAATGCTCACTGTGCAATAGGAAATGACAAAACATCAGAACCTAGTAGCTGAATAATGTCTTATTTCCTGCTGGTAATTTTGAGGTAAGAACAGTTGTGCTCTTCAAAAATGTGGGGAAGAGACAAAATATTCAGGCAAACCACTTCTTATAGAAGATCTAACACAGTTACAGAGACCAGAGATAGAAATTTACTAAGACTATCTCAGCATCCCTGCTGGTTGCCTTGTAACTGGGAATGAGAACTGTCCTTGTTTTTATACAATCCTGGGAACAG